TGTTTGTTGCTTTTGTAAGCAATTTCGATGTTGCATCTTGGGATTGTGCTGTATAAATACTCAATATTGGTGTCGATAATCGGAGTTATGGAGTACTGTTGCTGACCAGTGATTTGCAAAGCAAAATAAAATTTTTGCTAGTATAGTAATAAATATCGATTTCAGTTCACTTCTCGCATCCGTGGTCTTGCACCTATTGTTACGTCTAGTTTGGCAGAGATCTTAGGTTCGATTCTCTGGAAGTTGTATTGTCAGTATGCTGCGAAAGGGAAATACTGAATTAAACTGACTAATTAACCCACTTCTTCACCTGCTTTTATTTCCATATAACGCAATTATTAGAGTTAAGTTAAGTATAAGGCTTACTTGGGTATAACTTTTATCTTATATTTTGGTCGGCATTTAACATTAAAATCATATCAATAGTACAACCAATATCATATTCGATAATGAGTTGATATTTACACAAGAATAAAAACATACAATATTCGAGTCTGTGTAAGAGAACTGTCGTGGGATTTGAGGGCACACACGGAGCAATTTCTTTACTGTTATTTTATTTTATATTATATGAAAAGTTAAAAGGAACTATATTAGTTTTTCCCTTTCCGCACTATTGTATCTATTTAATTTGAACTACTTGGAATCACTTTCAAGACGCTATTAGTAACGCGTTAAACTTTCCATTTATAATTATATTGTAAGTACCCCATAAGTTTTATATTTTTTAAATTATCTATTTTATAGAATAATATAATTACATATGTTACATTTGAAAACCGCTGTAGTTTGTTTAAATCTAACAATAATAATATTTATATTCCCTACAAAAAAATTGTACGACTCAAAACTTGACCCTTAAAAGGAGTGGCGGAGAGTTTCTTGCCATACCAGTTCTTCTTTCTCGCTCTACGCCCTTGAACTGCTTTTTTGTTGAGGTTCATAAGTGTACTTGGTTACCTATATGACACAATTAAAAATAAAACTACAGTATAATCACGCATATAATTTTATTAAATCAGTAGCTAGGCTCTTCTATAATCAATTAGTTAAACATTAATTGACATTTAATATAAATTATACTTACATTACGGGTATAAAAATAAAACGTAAAAAATTGCTATCTACACAATTATTACAATCAATACATATGAGCTACTCACTCGATTATGCTTAACTTTGTTCTTCAATCACGTTATAAATGAACATGAAATCTTGTGGTCAACGAAAAACGTTTTCATGTGATACATGTCCTTTCATATTATGCGGAAATTTATATTCAAAATTGCACGAAAGTAAAATCCAATAGTTTTTACTCGATATTGAATAAAAAACGATTTCTGTTTCTCATGAAAATGTTCTGTATGGGGAAATGTATAACGGAATTTGAAACGATGGCATATTTTGTTTGCTTGTGATTGGTCAATAGCAAACAAAAAAGCAATAGAGTCCATTTTTCCGTTTGACTTTGTTTTTTAAATATTTCATATTAACCAGAAAGCTTTAGAGTATATTTAGTATTTATACTCAACTTCTATTTATTACAGTATCTGTTTTATGACATACACTGGAATAAATAGATTTCTGTACAGGCAAATTTGTCTTTTAATACCGAACACAAGTTGAATTATTTACTTCAGTGCAAGGAGATATTGCAAATACACCGGTATTAGTGACAAAGGTCCGTTTGAAACGTTTGTGTATTAAACACAATGAACTCGAAATTGACTCGCATTTAGTCACAAAATGATTTGTTTTGCGTTGGGAACAATTTCATGTATTTAATTAATTATTTTAGTATTCAATAGTGACGGTTTGACTTTTCTCATTAAACTCGGAAGAATCTACGTTCTTTGTCAATTACATTCTGGTTAAAAATTCGGGTTTCTAAACTAGAATTTCTACGCCAGTAAAGTATGTACTGTATTATTAAAGACGTACTATATGCGGCATATAATATGCCACAATTAGTTAAAGGTGCGTCATGTTATATATTTTAGTATCACAAGTGTGATAAGGTCAAAACTTTCGACCTGAAATTTGAGTGTAGTCCGTATTTTTAGAACATTGATTGAGTTAGTTAAGTTTTTTAATCGTATTAAACATAACGTAGCTTTTAGTACAGAATATTACACTATTCATAAGTGATATAAACCCACATAGCTGTTTCGTGTAAAGAATTTACTTACAAAACCACCTTTAGATTTATTGTGCCTTTCGGAATAAGACCTTGAAGGTGACGATATCAAACAAATGACGAAACAATGGTGATTGGTCGAACGGAGTCGCGTGTCTGTGATTGGACGAGATTCAGTTGGCCAATCACAATTAAACGAATCGCTTTCGTCTTTTGTTTTAAAATTCCACGTCCAATTATCGACACTGATTCTCACATGCATTTTATATAAACTGACATCGAAGAAATGCTTATTTTACAAGGCCAAAAACGAAATAATACTTACTTTATAATCGCTTCTCCATATATTATTTACATAATTTGAATTATACAGCTAATGTTTTTGGATATACCTTTGGGGACGTAGCTATAAGAGTTATCCAGCTCAGGGTTTCCGTGATGAAATATTTAAATATACTAAAAATGTAATTAATCCGAGAAACTTGAATAAAGTTCCGTGGTCTTTATTGGGTCAAATTTCCTACCTATCAGATAACATGAACACTTCCTTCCTCCTTTATACTTTATAAGGAGGTTAATATATGCCAAAGATTTTAATAGCCATTATAAAATATTTCTGCACTGAAACTCAAAGCTGGTATACCAATAGCAAAATTAATTATAATTTATCGTTCATTTAACATCTATAAAACGCTATCAGTCTGATTTCAACAACAATATAAAATTATCTAGTTATTATTACATATATTTCGTAACTATATCGTTGACAATTCATTAGTAGTAATCATTTAACAATATACTAATAAGTTAAATTGTAATTAGAATACACAAAATTTAAAATTTTGCCATAATTTCAATCGTATAAACTAAAAATGTATAATAAAATTGTTGGATATCAACTACAACATGTTCAATATCCCATATAAAGGAAACGTTATACAAGAGAGGAATTAAAATAACATCGTAAAAAAACAATGGCGCTGTCTTTGCCTTAGACTGTATTCTTAATTATTTTTCTCTATATTCAAACACTTACCTTCTGTGTACATACTACAAGTTAATTGGGTCACACATGAAAAATCCTCATGACTTGAGAGTCTATTTAGCTAGAAAAACCCCATTATATAAGCCACAGGACTTCATAGTTCTTTTATATTTCACAGCAGTTATAGCTTCCAATTTCCTTGTCGCGTTTCTATTTTAAAAAATATAGCGCAATACAATTCAAAATGATATATTTTTGGGAGATTTTAGCAGCGAAGATAGTCTGTTGGCTTTTATCCAAACCGAAATGCAGTCGACGATATCTGGTGAAGCTAATTTATAAAAAGCCATTGTTTCAATTCTGAATTTCATAAAACGTTACAAATTTCAATAAATGTACAGATTGAAAAGTTTTCCATTTAAATCGAATATTTGTTGTCGTTGCTTAGTTTATTAAATACATACTTATGGCAGTATTTATTGTATTGGCATACATAATATACAATATACATGCGTATTACAAACCTACAAAACACGACTTTTTATTACTTCTTGGGTAAGTATGTCAATATAGCTTTAGGTCTCCAATTAGAACCTTACACTCAGAGCTAGATTATAGGAATAAATAAACCCGTGGCGCTACAACCTTTTTAGGCCTGGGATTTTTGTATCGGTTTCATTATAATTTATCAATCTAATAGGCAAGTAGGATCACCTACTGTGCTTGACGAAGTCGACTTTTTGGGTCTAAGGCCTGTTTTCCTCACGATGTTTTCCTTCACCGTTCGAGCGAGCGAATGTTAAATGCGCACATAGAAAGAAATTCCATTGGTGCACAGCCCGAGAGAACCTATGACCTCAGGGATGAGATTTACACGCTGAAGCCACTAGGCCAACACTGCTAGATTATGTAATTTAGAAAAACGTTTCTTTGAAAGCAATTTATTTTTAGAATTTATATATTCCTACACTCATTACATAAGGTCTTAGCTGCCGCACGTCTGCCTCGTCATACCTAACCACGCCACGACAATCATAAGGAGGCAGACATTGGAATATCACATTTCTGCGTCTATTACATTGTTATCCACGATTCAGGTCAGCTGAGATAATTGTTTTACCCAAAATCGAATTCAATTACTCACGTGGGTTCAAATACTATATTTTACCCTTAGCATTTCGTTTTTAATTTTTTCTCTACTAGGTTTGCCTGCAAGAGATCGCTTGTTAGCGATAAGGGCACCCGTTTCATCCCTAATAATTTATGTTTTTTATTTTATTGTAACGAAGTTTAATATGTATATTTAAACAAAATTGAAAGATTTCAGGAGTGTAATTGTTATCCAACATATTTAAGACATTTTGCAATTTTCTAATACAATATTAATATTTAATTCTATACATTAATCTTATACACTATAACCACCACATAAGCTCAATACTGCACAATATACACAGCTATATTTGAGCGCTTAATTATTTATACAATTATGTTCATATCTATAGAACATTCATATGTCATAAGAAGATTTAGACGTAATTTTACTTTTTTTATACATGTGTTCCAATAATGTTGGTAATTTTTGTCAATCTTGTAAAATCTATAACATTCTTAATCTAACCAAAGACATTTATAATAGAGATTGAAGCGGGATTTGAATTAAATCACTATTGGAATACGCCAGTGAGGCTTTTTACGACCATTTTCCAACAATTAGACACCCAAATTTTTTTGTAAAGTTATTTTCTCACAGCTGAAAACGATTTCACTCTCCTAACGGCAAACAAGCACTGATGTTGCCGTTCATGTTGCCATGGCAACCATTATACAAACTATTCCTTAGATTTTAGTGTTCCTGCACTAGAAACGGGTTATGCACTAAATAGTCTTAGTCACAATGCTGCTGGGACTTTCACTGGGGCTCGAACTGTCATCTAGGCGAATGTTTCTTAAATCCTGTAACAAAATAATGCAATTAGGCTATTGAATTCACTTCCAGTCCCTATTCGCTTAGCTCCTTCTCTATCTTCCTTTGAATTTCTTCTGTACAAACATTATCTGTCCACATCGTATCCCTAACTTTCGTACTAACTACTAACTGACGTGACACTGATCTTAAATTAAATTATCATGATTTATGTGCACTTTTTACTTTTGTAACTTATGTGAACGTAAATTATAACATGTCACATGTAAAGTATGAACATGCAACAAATAATTGACTTTCTATTTGTAATGTAAAGAGAGATTCAATATATAACATGTGTCAGCCACAGAAGGCTGCTTTATTTGTCTATAAAAAAAATCTGTGGCGCTACAACCTCTTTAGGTCTGGGCCTCAGACTTCTGAATCTGTTTCATGAAAATTTGTAAATCTGTAGGTTATCAGCCTCCAGTGCCTGACACACGCCGTCTAAGGCTTGTCAGTTTCCTCACGATGTTTTCCTTCACCGTTCGCGCATGTTAAATGCACATAGAAAGAAAGTCCATGAGTGCACAGCCGGGGAACGAAGCTACCACCTCAGGGATGAGAGTCGCACACTCATGCCACTAGGCCAACGCTGCTCCATGTAAACTTCAAATCGGTTCCCGAAATTAGCTAAAAAATATATAAAGAAATCTTTACATAAAAATCAGGGAATAAAATATTAATATCCGCAATCGAAATGACTAAGATCAAAACGATGACGTCCCAATAATTGCTTTTCGAAATACGTTAGGCAATCGTTCGTAAAAAGGTTTCTCTTTGAGACGATATTAAATATTTTCCAACTAATAACACAAGCTGGTTTTGCATATACAATGCTTTATCATCCAAAAACAAAAGGGTATTTTCTTATGTTCATTTATTCTGTTGGATATGCTACGTTAAATCAAATAATTGTGCGTACACGACAAAAACTGCCTTAAAAGCCGCACGGAAAGTGGCAGGTCGTTGACGAATCGAATCGCTCTTTTTCGTTGGATACGGACAAGCGGACGGAGCTGGTACTGGGGAGCTCCCGCCTAGAGGTGAGAATAGTAAGAACAGTATTTTCACAAAAGAAGAAACAAAGTGTGTGTGTGTCAGCTACGACGCACGATTGGAGTTTACTCCTTACGAACGATAAAATGACGAATGTTCTGTGGCTGTCGACCATATTTTCATACTAAAGGTGGTAAGAATATATGTTTTTATAATATAAATGTTTGTAGTAGTAATAAAACGTACCTACATCATCTATGCCCAAATAGGATTTTCTTTCTGTGACCAAAGTTACCTTTATAGTAAGAGAAGAATAAGAATGAACAATCTTTTTAGATTTAATTTCACTGACCATTACTATTGACAAAACTCTATGGCACGCTAGACAATCTACTTTTATTTTTTACACCTGTCAACACTGACAATGTTGTAACGTGGCTGTCAAAACGTGAATTCAAAATAGAAAAGTCTGTGTAATGTATTCCATCTCATTCTTTTACACGTTCAATCTATTTGTCTCTTTCTAGATAACGCCTCAACTTTTCGTGTTACACATAACGCCTCAACTTTTCGTGTTACACTTGATTTTACTCCTCATAAAATTTCCGTACCGGGCCTTATAACTCAAATCGTTTCTTAAGGAGTAAACTCCAAAAATTATCTTCTTAAAATGGCACTTTTGAACTTCAAATAAAATATAAGGATGATTCGTGTTTCCTCTTCCAAAAGGAAATCTAAATTATTATTATTATTCTTTTTTTAGTATTTCTATCGCTATTTCCTGATATCAGGATCGCCTTTGAGCTTGAAAAACCACGTCGATCGCCACCAAGCTGGTCAAAAGCGGTTGATCGTTCGAGAGATATCGTGAACGAAAGAAACCCGAAAAAGTGTTTTTTCGGGATTACTCCGAAATTTGTGGTTCGATCAATTAAAATTACATATGAGGATGATAAAACTGCGTCGAATGCCGCCAACCGCGTGAAAATTGCTTGATCCATTCAAAAGTTATTGCAGTTTGAAAATTCCAAAAATAGTGTTCTATGAAACTTCTATCAGACTTTCGAGCTGGGAGAGCTCAAATGCATAGAAATATTATTTCTTTGAACTCAGTGAGCTCAAAATATCAATATTAAGCGCCCAGGAATGGAATTAGCGGGAAGTTGCAGGGATGGCCCTTTAGGTGAACCGTTTTTCTAAATTTTTTTTGTCAGATCAGGCGAATCCCTCTAGATAATCGTCAGATTATGAGACAGTACGTTTAGAACATAAAGATGAACCACATATATCTTAATCTGACGCGCTTGAGTATTTCAAAATTGCGATTTTTTTTTGCAAATTATGAAAATGGCCGTGGGTTTGCGTCCCATCGAAATCGTCAGATTAGTGAATGAGTGCTTTTTTTTGGTGCACTTAACACTCCCTTAGAAAATCTGACGCGCTCGATAATTTTTATTTTTTTTTCATTTTCAACCCTTAAATACAACCACCCGCATCATGCAAACGATCAGATTAACATACGTACATTATTAAAAATACGTAGGGCATTGATGCTATCAATATCTGACGCGCTCGAGGATGTCCCTGCAACAGTTTTTTTTTACATATTTAATAATCTATAGCCGCTTCCCCCACCGATGAAAAGGTATATATCATATAACATTTTTTTCTTCTTATTATCTAAGCTTTGCATCCCAATAGGTCTCTACGACGCTCGAGTAAATCCCCATTTAGCATCGTGGGCTCCCCTACCATAAGGTCAAATTCAGTTCAAGTATACAGAAAGTTTTAGAAACTATGTCTTCTTTGTACAAACATTTTTCCAGATCCGTTGAACATTATTTTTCGTTTAAATCGTTGTAAATTAAATTAAAACCTGACGCCTGTAAAATATTGCAACGCTGATAAATCCATAGCAATTTGAAATTGCCGTGTTTTTGGTTGCCTATAATGATGTCACGCAATATTCAACATACGTTACATACAGTATCCAATCTGTTTATTGATTGATGACTGGTTATTTGATCCAATCATTTTATGTAATAATTACACTTCGTGTAATATTTTGCGCCATTGAGAAAAAAAAACAAAACAACCTCAACCTCAACCAGTCTTGGCTTCAGATTTTTATATGTTGTGTATTTAATATTTATGCCCAACTCCGCATACGGACTCGCCTGTCTACCATACGCCGACAGCGAATTGTATCTAATTTCAGCAATATAATGTGCAGAGGCGAATAGAACTTGGAGAAACTGATCGTAGTTGGTAACATAGAAGGCAAAAATGTGGCCGTTCACCTACCAGAAGGATCGATCAAGTGACTCATCGTCCTCAATATACTATAAACGTCCACTGTCATAAGAGATGCGCTGGATAGAAACCCGTGGAAACAAATTGTCAGACATGAGATCAGCCTTCTGTGCCTGACACATAGATTTTTGAGTCCATGACATGTCAGTTACCTTATGATGTTTTCACAGTCCAAGGTAATGTTTATTGTGAACAATAAGTAAAAGTAAATTTTTATCTGTTTTTAAATAATTTCATTTTATTGTTAAAATTTTTGTTTTGTTCAGTAAATAGCTGTCACTCCAAGATAGAGTCCACTGAAAATCAGTGTTGCAGTGTTGCCCATTTTTGATTAAAGTGATTGTGTTTGTGTTTCTAATATATATTTTGTGTGTGTGCTTTAATCAAGTAAATATTTATTTCCTTATTTCTAAAATTCGAATTTGAATGCACGACTTCTTGGTCAAAAGCATACTTAAGCCATTAGCCCGACCCAGCATATAAATGAGTAATTAAAAATCTTACCCGTGAAGTTGCTAGCCGTTGCACGACAATTTCTAATCGGTCACCCGCAGAGGCAATCAAAGGCACAGTCAAGCAGCAGTCATAATCCACCGTACGTGTACCATTCACCTGTTAAAAAAATAAATAAAAAAAGGCATTCCTTCGCATGTCGCGTAAAATCATAAAACAATTTTGCTTGTCATTTTACGCCTTTAGTACACCTACGCAATCGCATGCGGCAGCGAAACGACGAAAAAACTGTAAGTTGTATGGCAATGTTTCGCATGTGTTTTGTCTCGCTCTATTATATAGCTAGATGAAATAGTTGCGTCCTTGTCGGTATTGTTTCGCAAGTAACTGCGAAATGGCTGATACACAGACGCAGCCGTTTCGCTAGCGGAGTTTCGCATCGCAATGCGTCACCACGCGTTCTGTCAGTGAGGACAGAATTTCGCACAATGGAAGCCGAAAATATTGAATTATTATTAAATTTGTTTCGAAATTATCCCGAATTATATTTAGTTGGGCATGTTAATTACAAAAATGCATACAAAAAAGAGGTGGCATGGAGGAAAATTCAAGAAAAGACGGGGATAGAAATAAAGCTACAATGACATTTCCTTGCGAAAAAACTGCAGTGTACTAACGTTCCGCAGATATTTCGCTACCGCAATTATTTCGCAAAGACTCGCAGCCGCATACGAAGGCGTAGGTGTCCTAAAGGCGTTAATGTTATGATTAAACTGTTTCTTTTTTTTCTAGTTGTGGTTCTAAAACCAACAAAAACCTTCCTTCACCGTTCGAGCGAATGTTAAATGCGTACATAGATACAAAGTCCATTGGTGAACAGCCGGGTATCGAACCTACGACTATACAACCTACACTGATTAATATCTCTTATTACCCATTTCTGGTGAATTATTAGGGTGTATAATTAAGTTTTTAGCTTGTAAACAGAAATATTATTATCATTTCAGAGATAATTAAAAGGAAGCAATATTGCTCGCACTTCAGCCTTACGAAGTACCCTCATAACTAGAACGTCAACTATCGTGATTGGTTTGCTAATTTCATTAACCTGTGACACATAAACACTTCGAACGTTTATAACAGAATAGATAAATAACACTTTTATATATATACTATAGTAGTAGAGTTTGGGGGCGTCAGGTTTTTTTTTTTGATATCTCATAACGACTCCCTTTGACAAAGGGTATGGAATGGAGTTTAGCGAATACCGTTGTTGAAAAAACGGTACGAAAAATTAACCTGAAGTTCAGTTATATAGTCATAATTCTGATTTCTAATGTTAATTATAATTTAAAATACATACTATCAGTAATATCCTAAGTACTAAAATAAAAAAGTTTTTATATGACCATTTCGTAGCCAAATGAGGTCCCTGAGGCCGTAGGTTTGATCCCCGGCTGAGCACCAATGGACTTTCTATGAGCGCATTTAAAATTCGCTCGAACGATGAAGAAAAACATCGTGACTAAACCGACTTGCCTTAGACCCAGAAAGTCGACGGCGTGTGTCAGGCACAGGAGGTTTACCTACCTGCCTATTAGATTGACAAATGATCATGAATCAAATACAGAAGGCCCAGACATATTTTAAGTAATCAAACCCCGTAATGCGCCGACTGCAAAACTGTTTTCATCCTTTATCTATATATTTCTTCAATAAAACTATATTTTTAACAACTACACACTTTACCATTAAAAATATTGCTTTTAATATTTTAAATAGGCTTTTTGCAGTATTCATTTCCGATAGGGGCAAAGATTGTTTTCACCGTTAATAAAATATAATTCAGGTCATGAAAAAGCGATTGATACAATTAATAACGGCTGACGAGTTATGGAAAAATAAAGCAACAAATTCAACGCATTAATGATTGAAGATTTATTCTAATAATGACATTAAAAAAGCGAATTTGTATTAAAATGATATTGCATAGTAGCGAGCCCGACCAGAGACAAGCGGCGATTACGACATGTCATATAAAAAAGGTAAAATTGTAATAATACTTAAATAATAAAAAACCAGTGGCGCTACAAGCATTTTAGGTCGAGATCTCATATTTTTGTATCTGATTCATGATCATTTATCAATCTAATAGGCAAGTAGGTAATCAGCCTCCTGTCCCTGACACACGCCGTCGACTTTTTGGGTTAGAGGCAAGCCGGTTTTCTCACGATGTACTTTAAGCGAATGTTAAATGCGCACATTGAATGAAAGTCCATTGGTGCATAGCCGGGGATCGAACCTATGATCTCAAGGATGAGAGTCGCACGGTGAAGCCACTAGGCCAATACTGCTCATATATACTGATCAATAAAACTACACACTACACTAAATACATTCCCAAATTTATTTTGAATGAAGAAAATGGCAACTTGGAGCAATGGATATGACATTCTCGTCACGCCTGCCTTCTATAGATAGATATTGCTTATGACCTGGAGACACAAGATTCGATTTCTAGAATCTTCTAGAAGATTTTTTTAGAATATACCATGAAAACCAACTGCACAAATTATCCTCGCTATGAATGACCACTGACCTGTAAAATCCTGTCATACGGACGTAACAGACCAACGATATCTGCTGGTCCACCTTTACGTATCCTATTGATGTAGACCCCCCTTTCATATAGACCATCGGAGACGGAGAACCCATAGTCATCGTATATTGCATCCTTATATAGTATAACGTGATGAACAGAACCCCGAGCTGGTGATAACGTATCGCTGCTGTAGAGACCTTGAATGTTTAATAATCATGTTAGACTAAGGTGACTAAAACATACCGATATACTTAGAAGGATAATGGACACCCCTGCGTCCACCTAAGGAATGACAAACCTAAACAAAAACCTATGCTAAAAAGGCCGGCAACGCACTCGCGAGCCCTCTGTCATTTCGAGTGTCCATGGGCGGCGGGATCAATTAACATGAACTAAGGACAAGGAATTACGAACCTAAATAATAACATATTTAAAAAAAGGCCGGCAACGCACTCGCGAGCCCTCTGACGTTGAGTGTGTCCATGGGCGGCGGGATTACTTAATATCAACTAAGGACTGAATGACGAACCTAAATAAAAACCTATTATAAAAATGCCAGCAACGCACTCGCGATCCCTCTGGCATTGCGAGTGTTCATGGGCGGCGGGATTACTTAATATCAACTAAGGACTGAATGACGAACCTTAATAAAACCCTATTCTAAAAAGCCAGCTACGCACTCGCGAGCCCTCTGGCGTCGAGTGTCCATGGGCGGCGGGATCACTTAACATGAACTAAGGACAAGGAATGATGAACCTAAATAAAATCTCATCTAAATAGGCCGGAAACGCACTCGCCAACCCACTGGCATTGAGAGTCCATGGGCGTCGTGATCACATAACTTCAACTAAGGACAAGGAATGACGAACCTAAATAAAAACCTATCCGATTTCAATATTTAGTTTCCACGTAAGAATTAGATAACTAAATATTTATTCTGTCGATTGGCAATTATTATAAGGTCAATTACGAAACATGATTTCACGCCAACATAATTTTCATAGTTACGTGGGAGTGATTAAGATACAATTAGGTATTGTATCGTATTTCATATCCAATATACTGCGTATTATTCTAGTTGTGTGAACTGCCATATTTAATTACTTCAGTGGTCAATATTTGCCGAACAATATTGTGTACTCTTTGATATCAATTTCTATAAACTGTCACGTTTTGTTAGTTTATAGATAATAAAATAAATATCTATGAAAAGTATTATAAAGATTTGGACTTTTATTGTACGAGTATATCTCTAGCAACACACGATTGAATATTTCATTGACGTATATCATAATTTCCAGATTTTTCATAGAAATGTTGTTTTGAGCTAAACATAATCTATTTACACTATTATGCTTTGTCGATCATCTTCTTTAATCTTTGATTTATAAGTTTATATATAACATTATTGTAATGAATGTCGACGCTTCGGTGGGCGGAGAAATTGTGACCAATTTGCGTAGCACCGTAACATGGTTATTGTATTTCTTTTTTAAATAAATAAAAAAATTTTTACTAGTTTTTGATATTAGCTTCTTGTAGGTTTATTTTCGATTAATTTAATATGTTTACCTAAACGCAGTTATTGCTTAATAACTAAATGTATATAATTTAGACAGCGAGATGTACTATTTCTTTTTTTATAATTAATTAATAAATATTTGTGTAGTCACGATGATTCTCAAATAGTGAACAAAAACATTGCAACAGATGTAAAATTTTAAATATTTAAAGGTACTTAATACGTGTATGTTCAATTAAATATAATATAATTGAACTATTTAAAACGCTGTAGGCGTTTTATTTATTGTTTTATGTTTTATGATTATTAAAATATTATATTTGAAATACAGAGAATACACCAGAAGTGACTGTGATGACTTCTGGTTTGTACAAATGTTTCAACCATGTAACCCTGTATCTTTATTTTAGTAATAATTCTCAGTTTTCTATTTTTCTTTTTATAGTAAAATTCTATATTTTTAATAATTTGTAACTTGATCCGTTGGATGAGCGGAGTACCCTGATGTACAGGTCTCCCTAGACTTAGTTCAAGGGCTCCAATATCTGCTAAAACAATGTAAAAAAAACAGAGAACACATACCTGGAACATCGTTCTCATAAATAGGGCTATTCGAAAATTGAAAGCTGGATCCCGCCATAGGTTTCAACGGCGACTTCTGCGGCGTCGTCACAGTATATATACCGTTGAAGTCGTTATCCCAGTTACGCCTGTTCGGGGAGACTATACTATAAGGACCCATCTGAACATAGTCACATTTGCATGACGACCTCTCCATGTTGTGAAGTTGGCAATCCTTCATATTCGAAGTTAAAATTTCAATTTGCTGAACATCGTCCTCTCTTGTATTCGTTTTCTTCAAAGTCTCGGGAATAATGCACGTATTCTCGTAGTGAAACGTCTTGAGTGAATTATTGAGTGAATAATTCGGCAAGGGTAAGTCTTGAATGAACGAATTGAAGTTGGAGGCCATAAGTTTATCTTCGTCTGTCGGTGAGTACGGCTGTTTATCTATTATTCGGGACTTGTCTGGTACGGCGTATTCTATTACTTCGGAATTGCCTGAAAATTGGATAAATGAGTAATGAAGGTACGTGAGACATTACCAATAAATATAAACTTTTATCAGACTATAATTTTATCTATTATATATTTATTTCTAAATATAAAAATACAGTTTAAGTTATAAATGATGAAACAAAATTTATTAAAGACTTACGATACATTTATTTATGTACTTTTCGTTACCTTAAACATACATATACAAAACAGGTTACATAAGTTATTAAGCAACATGCGACCCTCTCGCTAACAAGCGATTTCTTCTAGGCAACCCTTGTATGGAAAAATTTAATCAACAAATACCTACAGAGGGTAAAGTACAAGAAGTGAATAAATGATTAATAAAAACGGAACATTAAATAACGTGTACCACTATTTAAATAAATAAAAATTCCAATAAAATTCAAAAGTCAAAATCATTTATTCATATAGGTAACACAATGTACACTTATGAACGTCAAAAAAGAAATTTACATTAAATGCTTCTAATTTGATATTTACTGCCAGCTATATATATATATAAATCTAAATAATACATAAGTCTAAATTATCAATTAATGCCATCTACTCCGAAGCTGTGAAAATATGAAAATAATTTACGTTATAAATATAATGGTATAATTAACTACTTAAAATATATTTTTCAACTTAATCTAAGTACTTTTATTCTACGTGCGTTATAAACTCAGGAAAACTGTATAAATTGGTGAATTTGTGGAAACATTATTACGCGATTGTCAGCTCTCAAATTCGGCGATATTCTAAAACGTTTCTAGGACAATTAAAATACACCTTGGCTTCAGAATCGACGACCTTCGTGATACTAAAAGCATCCCTATTTACAGTTTGGCCACAATCCCAAGTGAGATGTGGCCGATTGGAGGCCTGTCAGGAGATTCCTATTAAATGCTTAAAAGAACCCATATAGAACAGTCTAGGTATAGAAGGGGGCAAGGAGGTCCACTCCTTTGCTGGTTTTATAAGAAATGAAGAACTAAATCGTTCAGTGCGGCATGTCGACAACGAAGGAGTGAATCTCCAGTGTGCTTCTAGTATCGCAAAGGTCTTTTAGACAGTGAAGTATGCAGATATATGCGTTACTATGAAAATAGCTCGCACTGTCACTGCCACCGAGAGCTCAGTGTGAACACTCACTGGCCAAGATATTTTTTTTTATAAGGGGCAAACGGGCAGGAGGATCATCTGATGTTAAACGATATCGCCGCCCATGGACACTCTCAATGCCAGAGGGCTCGCGAGTGCATTGCCGGCCTTTTTAAATTCAAATATTACAGCAAGCAGAATTTAGGGCAATATTTCCGGAAGCAGCAGAAACAGCAAAGGCTATGTGGAAATGTTTTAAACCTTGAAAAGAAGCTAATATTAACTTCTCTTTGAACTTTAAAATATTAAAATACTGACCACAATTACCACTCGTCCTGACGGGCGTATTCTGGTCCCAGGACTCCACTGCACTGTCGTTTGAGAGCCCTGGACTAGAAGTGGAATGGCTAGAATCCCTTGCACTCGACTCACCGCAGTCCAAATGACCTATTAATACAGTATATATTACAAATATGTTTTTTTATTACAAAAACGTTGTTGTAAACAGTTATACTAATAATCTAATATATAAAATTCTCGTGTCACAATGTTCGTTCTCATACTCCTCCGAAACGGCTCGACCGATTCTTATGAAATTGTTTATGCACATTCAGTCTGAGAATCGGCTACTATCTATCTTACAAACCCCTAAGTGATAAGGGGTATCCACCCCAAAAATTATTTGTATTTTTTAGACCTTTTTTTTATGACACAACACAAAAATATATACAACCTCTAATTTTCAACCCTCTACAATCAACCTCTATTTTTTATTATTGTAGATAGTTATTTTTATTGAAATAATACACATGGCAAAACAAACGTTTGCCGGGTCAGCTAGTATTACATATATATTTTTCTCTGTCATTTCATAAAAAAATACTATAATTTAGATTGAATTCCTAAATCGGCTTCAGGTATTACGTTACAAAGTTGGAATATGAATGAGACAAATTATACCGCAAATACTTTTCCGATGAATGAGCAATATTGTAAATACTTTTTGTATAAAATTCCTATGTAGGATTTTCTATTCCAGGAAAATCATATTGCGTGGAATTACGCGTGGACTTGTACTTTAGCACATCTTCTACGACCTTTTCAACACAATTCGCTGTATTTCAATAAATTTACGTATAACAATGATTATTTTTCCGACCCAAATATCGACCAATAGAATTGCACCATTCGACGTCACGTGGTACAACCTACATGGTATTATACTGATAATTTTTTGAAAATTTTCTCTGGTAGTTGCTTCAAGAAAAGTATTAAGTAGTTGTTTTATTCATTATGAAATTCTTATTTGTTAACTGTACATTTCGTCTCATGGTGCAATTCTATTGGCCGACATTTGGGTCGGAAAAATAATCCCCCGAATACCACACGAGCTTCAAAATTATCTGGCATTTCCCTCAAGGTTCCCTGCAAACAAATAAAGTCGTCAAGTTTTTCAGGTTAAAAACTTGACTCCTTCATTTGTTTGCAACGAACCTATCGGGAAATACCCGATAATTTTGAAGCTATTATAAGTGAAAATACTTAAACTTATCTCAGGTATCATATTTATGAACCTTACTTAAAAAAAACTAGAACTAGAAACTTACTCGTTGGTACGTATTCGGTGTTTATCGTGCTCATATATACCGACGCGGCGGGTGGACATCATTTCAAACATATATTACAAAAACCGTCAAATATCAATCATGCCCAGAATTTTTATTTATGGGACAGCGCAGGTGGATCATTTTGAATAGCGATTTTTGTTTATAAGGGGACGGCCAAATTTTTTTGTGTGTGTATTGCCGGCCTTCGAGGGAGGGGTGTACTGTTTCCTTAAACAATTGAAGGTCTCCCAGGGAAGACCGCCACCGGGAATCGTTTCCCCAGTTCGCTAGTTCGCAAAGGAAAATCTTGTGAAGCGGACCGTGGAAGACTTCCAGCCAACAAGATCATGTTGATGGGAATTTTGAAACGGCTAGTAGGGATCAAACAACTCTTCAGAACACTCTCCCATAGTACGCTTTGTAGAATACGCATAGAGACGCAATGTACGTAGAGAGAGAATGTGTATATTATTAAAAAAGGAATGACCACAATTATTCTTATTTTTAACTTTTAACTGTATTTTATTTAGTATACACCTTTACAGAAGACTTCATTACTTTCACTGTTAACTTTTACTTATATTGTTCTTATTTATTTCTACTAAGTATTATTACATTCCTTTTCTTTCTTTTTTGACTAAGGCGCAGACTAGCTGCTGTGGTCTCTGGCAGAATGACCAGCGCTGTGGAACATTCTGCTCCTCAGCATAATGCTGAGCCAGTGTCAATTACAGCCACAGCACACACGCATTACACGCTTGAAACGAACCGTATTTTTAAAAGGGATTTTTTATATCTCATTATTTTTTTTACTTTATTTTTTCTTTGATTATTATTGTGAGTTTGTGTAATTTTGTTAGTAATAAATGTTAGGTCTATATCTACCATTGACCTTCAATAAAAGAGATTTAAAAAAAACCCCTAAGTCGTATCTATTTGGAAATACCTCTACTGGCAGCTGGTTCCATAAGGAAAGTGCCTTAAAAACGCTATTACTACACTCACCAGTGACTTTCCTACACATTTGCAGCTGAATTCTTTGCCCACTTTGTTGTAACAACTTGATCGCTTCTGATAAAGGTTTGTTTAGGACGCTCTCGCCGTTTATGCTGAGCAGCTCATCTCCAATGGCCAGTTTACCGCACTTTTCAGCCAGGCCACCTATAATTAAGCTCTATTAGAAATATTATAAAATGTCTGTATTTTGGAAGGAGGTTATAAGTTCGACTTGAATTGGACAATATTTGACTATGTATTATGATATATATGGTAAGTTTGTATTTTCATAAATTTCTTAGTAACTAAGTGTTATTGACATGAATTTTATTACAATCAAAATTGCGGATTGATAGGAAAACATATAGTTTTTAAATTTTTTTAGTTTTTCACTTCGGTTTTTATGTAGCCTTGAATTCCGTACTTTTTTTTCAAATAATCAATATTTGCGTTGTCGAGTAGAGCATAGGTGATAAATAATTATTCACTCATATATTTATATTATGTAGTGTAATAAATCAATAATGATGAGATGCAGAAGATGCAAACTGACCCCACATCTCTACGCAACGCCAAAAGATCAAGCCGCTCGGAAAGGGAATGGTCGGGGATTCGAACCGCTCTTCGTTGAATACGGTAAATTGCTTGTTGGTTGTGTTCGAGGATTAATATAAAAACAACAACAAAGAACAAACCCCTAAAAACCCTCTGGACATCTTGATTCCCCCAAAATTTAGCTGAACACTATATAAACTCTACTTGCTTATTATACCTAAAACAGACACAACAAAATATAAAGTATTGTATAGTAGTTATTTACTTGTCCATGTTATAATCACTTCATATTCATATTTAAATTTCGAGAGTAATTGACAGTGAATACATAAATCATTTTCTATAAAATTACATTAATTTTGCCAAAATTTAACAGTACGGCAATTAATGAAAACACATTTCTCTAACCTACCAGTCGTGATTCGCCAAACAAAACATCAACAGTAACTTTTTGGAAACAAACACCGACCACACCATATCATACACAATTCAAACCCACATTTAAGCTCTTCTTCTCTTTCAGAGGCTCTTTCTTTAACCACTTTCTTAAAAAAAAAATCACTATTGATTCAAAACATTATACATTCAATACAACAACAATAGTGTAATTATAAAATGTAAGTGATATGTAGAAATTATTTTCAAGTACCGTTAACTAGTTAAAAGGAAGGGACTACCTGTCCTGCCCTGCGAAAATACTTCAAATTTACAATTCGCAAAACTTTAGTCTCGAAATAATAATAATTATGATATAGAAAACCCTATAGCTTATTATTATGTACACATAGTACAAATTAATTTTTAAATATATATTCTGTATTCCATCTTTGGCATCATTCTTATAATAGTTAGCTGTAGGATTACGAAATAAATAAATACGTGAAACGTACCTTCAATAAGTCCACTCAATAGTATAGGCTGCGTCACATCCTCGCTTCCAGCTATTGTTAACCCCAGCGGTCCACTGTCTGGTCTTATGATTTCCACCATAAAAACCGCGTCATGCCTGTCCTTCCCGCTATTATTAGGACTGTCAGTATGCCCGGAGTCCTCTTCACTGTGTATCACAGCTTTTGTTTCCACGCTACTAAAGCTTTGCAAAGTGAGCTTTGCATTTTGCTTGTGTATGTTCGCCCAGTCGTCGGTCAAATCGCGTTTGCGGATTTTTAAGGTTATTATATCTTCTGGCGAGTTTTGAAGGATGTTGAAGGCTGTGTCCTGATAAATAATAATATAAAAATATAATATTTTAATAATGCTTTTTCGTGTTTTATCGTACCCGCCTCCCTCTACTAAAACATTTCGTAAACATAAAGTGACCATTTTACCTAAGTCACAATAATATGGCGTAAAGTACTGAAAAGTCACTAATATTCAAATGAATTAGTGTTTAAATCGCGTTATTATTATTGATTAAAAACCCTTTCTGTCCTTGTACATAAATAAATACGTTACATAATACTTGAACACTCCCTAACCAGATACTATTTATATATGAGGATATTAAACCAAATTATCAACACATTTGAAGATAATATAATAAAAATTCCCTAAAAATCTTTCTTCCAAACCGAGTAGTGGCTGAATGGAATATGCTTCCGGAAAGTGTAATTAGTGCACCCTCTTTGAAGTCTTTTAAAAACAGGTTGGATAATTTCTCCAAACCCTCAAATACACGCGCATCAGCTTATTAAGCTGCTAGTGTGTTTATCTACATAATGATAATTATAAGTAAATATATACAATAATAAAGTGATACAAAAACGCGGAACCGATATGAAATAAAACTTTTAAATACTCTTCCAGGCATTTTTTTCAATTCTTTGAACTCGTATAATATAAATTAAATATAAAAAAAAATATTTGCAAAAATGTTTTGGAGGTACAATCGAAAGTTCCCATATTCTGCCACACATAATGGCGTGCAAATTTGTCTTAAAACGAATTTTACATAGAAGTTATATACATTATGAGTTATCATTATAGTCAATTCTTATATTATTTGTATTGATAAAATATCACATTATTAAAATATAATATTACGTTATCAAATTAATATTAATTATAATGTCTCACGCAAATGATCATTAATAGAATAATACATTTTTACCAAAAGTAAATATATGTTCTCGTCTGATAAACAGAATAATTAATTCTATTCTATTTAATTACCACATGACAATTAATAGCAATACAAATATCGCTCCGAAAAATAATGTTTGTGCAAAATTTGACGTATTAATTTATTAAACATAAGGCAGTAATTTAGATAAATATATTACCAGTGACAAATTATGTAAAGGCTGTCCATTTATAGCAAGGAGATGATCCCCCGGAGCCAACGCGCCACTTCGATGGGCCACCGAACCTGGTTTGATATCTGATATCACCATTGGTTCCTCATTACTTAAAAGCTTCTGTTTGCAACCTGTAAGTACGTTTATTATTCAGAATACAGTAAATGACAAATTAGGTTTATTAAATAAGGTTTTATAAGGCATTATACAATGCGCAGAGGTGATGAGAACTTGAAGAAACTAATCGTGGTTCAAGAGACAGATGGTCCGATCATGTGAAAGACTCATCGTTCTTAAAACTTAACACTGTAATAAGAGAAGCGATGGATAGAAGCCGGTGGAAACAGAGTGTCCACTCCAGATGTTTCTTCGCTGACCACGACGCTCAGATATGAGCTACCATATATAACAGAAAATGCATAATAACAAAAATAATATCTTATTAACTGACAAGAAAAGGAGATTGTTAGTGTGAACTGTATATTGAGTTATATTCATGGAATAGGATAAAATTTGATAATCTACCTAGGGTTTTAATTATGTAAATGTATGTTTGTATATTAAATTCTTGGAATCTAACACATATCGTGATTATGCTTTGATTACAGAAGTTCAATTTGCAAACTCTCGAGGATCGTCGTATGATTGTGGACCTGGTGTTTTTGTACAAGTTGATGCACGGCACGATTATTTGTCCAGATATTTTAAAAAAGATTTACTTCGTAGTACCTAGAATCAACGCAAGAAGAAGACAGACTGATACTTTTGTCGTTCCACAGTCCTTAACCAATCTAGGTAAACATGCGCCCCTCAATAGAATGCTTAGGAATTTTAACCAATGTAGTTGTAGACATAGTCTTGACGTGTATTATGACTCACTTCCTAGTTTTAAGAAGAAAATTCAGTCATCTCAGCCATAAGTCATGTAATATTTTCCACGTTTCAATTTATTTATATTTAAAGATACAAATACTTAAGTAAACTCTGTCCGCTATCATTTATTAGAGTCAATGTTGTGTACACCTATTATTAGATTGCATGCTAGAATAAAACCCAATATTGTTAATTAGAAAATATATACATGTAATCTGTTGGTGTTCCTTAATAAATAAATAAATAAATAAATAAATAAATAAATTACAATGAGGTATAATAATTAAGTGAACAGCCCGAGATTCAAAATCACTTCAGTAGTTTTTGATATAAAGGTACTTGCATTTCTGGATATATTTAACATTGTTTGTACGTGTTAATGTTTCGTATCTACAATTTTTGGCTACAATTATGTGATGTTGTCATAACGCCTTAAAGTATTTCTTCCGACTACTAAAACAAAAAACTTGGCGATTAAAAAGAGTGGCGGAGAGTTAATTGCCAGTTCTTCTCTTCCGTTCTACGCCCTTGATTTGAGAACTGGCAGAACGTTCATAAGTGTACATTGCGTTACCAATATGATTTACTTTGACGTTAAAGATATGTACCACGTGTATACCTTAGCGATTGGGGCCTTTGGGCCTGCCAGTCAGAATGAAATCTTTCCATTTGGATGTAGGAACTGTACCTCTGTTCCTCAACAGCTTTTTCCTTGTCAAAGGTATTTGAACTTGGTTTGATTACCTGTGATCGTAACTCCAAGTCCTGCCGTGGTCTTCGCAAGCTTTACAGTAAAGACTCCACTAGACGCCTCAATAGTATTGGGCATACTGAATTCTACGTTCAAGGTCAGATATTTTGGGTTATGTGAATCATTTCTTCGCTGGAGGATTTCGTTTGCCACATCAAGAGTTAGATTCTCGTGACCGTTTATTGACATCACGCGATCCCGGACTTGGAGACATCCCGATCTATAAAAATTTCAATTATTCATTGTTCTAAATGTTTAAGGTTCTGTCATATTTTGGCGAATTGTGCGCGATATAATAACATTGGAATTGTATCACTCTGCAAGTTAATACAAGTATATAGTGTGTTCGGAAAGAGAACTGGCGTGGTAGTTACGCAAACTAATATTTGTTTAAATACAAAACGTGTGGAAACAATACTTATATTAAGTGAGAACATACAAGTTCCACTCTTTTGCTGTGTTCCAGAAACGACAATCCAAATCGTGCAGTTACTTCAGTTTACAATGAAGGGGTAAAACAATTTTTGTATTTATTTATAACTTCTAAAATCTAAAGCAATATGCATGAACAATACAAGACCATAGAAAAATCAAACAAGCAAGGAAAAAACACATCTACGCGTCCTTTTTTAATCACAAAACTTATATTCCTTTAATTTTTTATATTAGGTATCGAGATTACTGTCAAACTACGTAACAGTGGTGTCAAAATAACAAAAAAAATTAGCACGTGTCAAAACTCAAATCCCACGACGGTTCTTTTTCCACACTGACTAGCTGATGACATCATCAGGTAAGTTTTGGGATACTATTACAAAATTGATTAACGCAATTGCAATCTTTATCTATACTAATATTATAAAGAGGACAGATTTGTATGTAAGTATGTTTGTAACGAATTGGCTCAAAAAGTACTCGACCGATTTAAAAATTCTTGCACCATTTGAATATAAATTAATTATACATTTTGCAATTAAAATAAGTACATCAAAAATGTATGAGTCTACTTAAAAACGAACCTGTAGGCCGGTGATTGTGGCGCAACATGTGATATGACCAACGTAGCATTATCTTCGAGTACTAGTAGTCCGCTGCTGTGCCCCGGGGGGCACTTCCAACTGTATGTTTAGAGATTCCGTTCTACACACGCCCATACTCATGTAGTTTTGCTGGTTGTCTGGAATAATATTATCTTATATTCATACACAGGAAATCAGTAAAGCGTTTAAAGGACGAAATTTAAAGTGAAATATATTATTGAGCAGTGTTGGCTTCGGCGTGCGGCTCTCATCCCGGAGGTCATAGGTCATAGGCACCAATGGAGTTCGCTCGCACGGTGTAGGAAAACATCGTGAGGAAACTAGCTTGCCTTAGACCCAAAACAACGGCGTGTGTCAGGGACAGAAGGCTGATCACCTTGATATTAGATGAATAAATGATCATGAAACAGAATAAGATATAATTAAAACTAAAGACAAATGATGTCGCGGTTTTGTTTATTGTGATTGGTGATAAGGGACGGATTGCTTATTTTCGATTGGATCAGAAATGTTCTTCACCATATAAAATCATATTTTATTTATAGAACAGGAGCACACACGGGTAGAAGGCTCATGTGGTGTTAAGTGATAGCCCATGAAAACTCTTAATGCCATGGGCTCGCGAGTGCGTTGCCGGCCTTTTAAGAATTAATACGCCTTTTCTCGAACCCTAAGTGGAATTGGTTCGGAAATACTTCAGTGGTACCACATAGCGGAGGTGCGCGGCCAAAACTGCCTTAAAAAAAGTTGTGGAACGGCGAAAATACACACGTCATTGTTTTAATATAAACCAAGCATTACACACCCGAAGATATTGTGCTTTTACAATAGACGACTAGATTAGACGAGTCATTGGTCTAGTGGTTAGTACCCCTGACTGCGAATCCATGGGTCCCGGGTTCGATCCCCGGCTGAGACGAACATCGATGTGATGAGCATTTGGTGTTGTGCTTAGGTCTTGGGTGTTTAAATATGTATTTATATGTCAATCTATCTATAATATGTATGTATATCCGTTGCCTTGTACCCATAACACAAGCTTCACCAGCTTAGCATGGGACTCGGTCAATTGGTGTGAATTGTCTTTAAAAAAAATATATATATATATATTTGCTTAAATTGATTTGGTTCAATGTTAGCTTATGCAAATCAAAGATCCACATAGAAATTGAAGTAAAAAACATCCCACCTAGAATAGTAGTACTTTGATACGAATAGCACCAACATTAACTACGCTTGCACGACTCAATCACCATTACAAAGATGTCGTAAAACATTTACAAAGTATTCCCAAACATTAGCAAGTTTTTGTTCGAGGTTTGGACTTCACAATAAACAACCCTATAGTACGATTACGGGCCTAAACAAATATTGGGGGCGTGAAATCTCAAAGTTGGTTCGCAAAAAATTGTTTGAACGCTTTTTGCTACAAAACGTTGGTGAAATTGTTATTCTTGGCGATAAATTTTCTAAATTATTCCTGGTTTTCCTGTTCTTTATTTAAGCGTATTTTTATTGTGATTTATAGTGATATGCAGTTAGATATTAAATGGAAATTTCGTTTTAATAAAATTTACCAGAAATAAAACGGAAACGGTTTTTGTTTTGAATTAAGTTGATAATTCAATCAGAAGCAGAAAAGGTGAGTATCATGCTTCTAAGCGCAGTGTTGGCCTAATGGCTTCAGCGTGCGACCCTCATCCCTGAGGTCGTATGGTTCTATCCCCGGCTGTGCACCAAAGGACTTTCTATCTATCTACGCATCGTGACGATGATGAAAAATTTACAGATTACAACTAACTTACTTGCTAAATATAAAGTTCTTTCTACGCTATTAAACGTATCTTTACATGTAATTAAGAACTTAATAATTAACTGGATTGGTAGCAATTAAATCATTCTAATCCAACCACCTATATCTATCAAAGAAAGCAATAAACTAACTAAAATTAGTTGATTCAATTAATTAATTAAATTAATTATTAATTACAAAAAAAAGAAGATGCTTTAGTACTCACCAAAATCATCCTGACCACCCAGTTTAGGCATGGAACTTTGCCTATATCTCTGCCGTTGTTTCTTAGAATTCAGCGTACCGGATATTGAATTTTCTGAAACAAAACATTTTCTAATCTCACGAAAATGTCATATCCACGAGACAACGTTATAAAAGAATAATATTTCTTATCGGTAAACATAGATTGAAATCCTTGCTTTATAAAATTAGATTTAAAAAGCAGCCTAGTGGCTATACCACCATGATATCGCTTGCCTGGGGAACAAGATCGTAAAAGCTAAATCAATTTTTTTTTCAGGAAAAATAAAAGAAGGTAATCCTACTATTACTAGCATACTAAGTACATATACAAATATATATATTAAATGAAAGATATTTTTTCCTATCATACGATTTAAACATTGTTGTTACGTATCGAATGTAAATAATTAAAAAATAACTAAATGTACAATTCAGTAATTTATCTAATTAGACTGAATAGCAAAAGTGTTTTACGATAGGTTCAGTGTTTAAACATAATTACAGATTACACAGTAACCACACATTACGAAGGTAATTTTGACGACTGTCTAGAAGGTAATAATTTTTTAATACAGTTGCTCAAAAAGTGGCGTATTGCAGGGACGTATAGCGTTCGGGATGTGGGCTATTACACACTCGTGCTTTTTTTTACCTTTTCCGAACTAGTGCGTTTTCTTTCCCAACTGTCAAAATAACGTCTATTAAAAAGAAAAAACCAACCACGAAGTTTTTACAAAAAAAAAATTATAGAAATTTTTATGATTCATGCAAATATTTCTAAAAAGAAGCTACTGGTTTGTTTCAATATAAGATTTAATGATTTGATTCAATGAGTTAGGTTAGATTTCATTTCATCTCCTTAAATTTAATTTCATATTAATAAAAAATTGTACTGAAGACTTGGCTGTATGGGCATAGTTCCCTTTGCCTACCCAGAATGGGTGAAGAAAAAAAATATATCTGCTTATATTCTTTTACGGTTGGCGCCATTTTCCAAAAATGTTCTTTGCGCGTTTAGTTGTTTGTTATATTATATACTCGGCTCGGGTAGACATTTGTCGAAACTCTTTGCAATGACAGGCTTTCCGCACTTGTCATTACAATAATATACTATATTACCACTCTTTTCGCGGTAATATTATGATTCACCTTTGTGAAACAGAGATAATATATTATTACCACTTGATATTTGTTTTTAAACTGTCGCATTAACTTTTCTAATTATTTGGTAACATTACAATCTAAACTAAAACTATCTTTATGGTTGTTGCGATTTATTTCAGGAAAGTCAAATTAGATAAACGAGTATTACTAACATTGTGCACAAAATAATTTCCTTAGAATAAAGACATTCTGGTGTTTTTTATTTTTTGCTAAAATTCTGAAATACAGTAAGTCAAAAAGGAGGAAACATTAAAAGAGTCATAATATTAGGAATTGGTTTCCCGGGGCAAGCGATATGCATTATACGGTCGTGCGTTTGAACTCGGCTGTGCACAATTCATTTTTCTGTCTACGGTATAGAAAACATCGTTTAGTATTTATTTCTAAGTTTTATTACCGACGGCCTTTTAAAATGAAATAAGGCGTTGTATATTTGTGAATGAATGAAGATTTGTCAAGTATCAAACTAGAAAATCGCTGCATGAATTGCCTGATCCGTACAAAAATATGGCAAATACAAAACTTCAGACGAGCCTGGTCTTGGACACGTTTGCTATATTCTGGTCACTTTGCTCATTGCTGCTGTAGCAAACGGAGTTCGCCTACGAATGTCCCCGTTACATCCTCCCTAGTTAGTCAAACTCAAGTACACTTATAAACGTCAACAGAAAAGGTGTTAAATTGATTCTCAACTTACTACCAGTTCGCAAGTCAAGTTCGTAGAGCGGGCAAGAAGAACTGTCAAGAAATTCTCCGCCACTCTTTTTAATCGCCAAGTTTTAGTCATCATTGTTTGAACTGAAGCAAATCAATCCCAAAGATTATGATCATTTAAATAATCGTCAAATTTATAAAAAGCTTTATTGATTAATTTACGATTAACGAGAGTTTTGAATTTTTTTCGAAATTTATTCTGTGATAATTCTCTAATTTCGCTTAGGAGTTTGTTGTAAACACGAATACAATTTCCATATAAGGGTTTATCTTCTGGAGCTTGGTTAGTCGTACAATTAGTTTAGTTCTGTTTCGGGTATAATACTGATGATACTTATGAGTGATACAAATTTTTCCACAAAGTCCGCCAGTTCTTTAGAACATGTGAGAAGTCCAATCCGATCCACTAACCTGACTTTTGTCTTTACCCTATTAATATATTAATATGTTTTATATTTAACTAAAATGATAAATAACATACCTCTAGGAAACCTTCCACCATGTGCCAGAATGTGTCGCGGAGCTATATGAAGTCTGGTAAAACCAGGTTCACAGTTCTCTAAGTAACACATTACTTCTTCCGCTGTGTAGGTGTTGCCATCAATAACGTGGTCGTCAAATGCTAACAGCTGGTCGCCAGGGTGGAGGGCACCACATCTAAAATAGGGTAAAAGTAGTCAATTCAAAGTTACACTTGAAACGAACCGAGATTTTAGATTAGATCGCATAGATTTTATCGCGGGCTTTCAGCGCGGCGACCGAATCAAGAAATTCCGTAACGATAAAAACCTAACACACGATGACGTAATATAGTTGCGGCCAATACGCGTTAGAGCGGGACAGAACGCATACTGCGTATTACATCTCTCTGACGAGATCGGTGCAGCCGGTGCGCGTTAGAGTGAGATAGACTATATAGGCGAGTTAGTCTGAGTCTGGTAGAGTGGTAGATTGAATTAATTTATCAAAGAAAAAGCTTGAATTAATATCAAAGAAAAAAAATACTGCATAAATAAATAATTATTATTGCATAAGTTGAAAAAAAATTATGCAATAGCTTTACCGCGGCAGTCCCAGAGTGCCACACGTTTTATATTTTCATTGATTATTGTTTTTATTTTTTTTTATTATTATTTTTTATTTGTGTGAGTGTTTTTGTTAGTGATAAATGTTATGTCTATGTTTTGTCAATTCTTGTTTATATTTTATTCTTTTACTTTTTCTCTTTTTTGAGACATGTTTCTACAATAAAATCAAAAAATTATATTTATGTAACCTATTTGTATATAAACATTATATTCCTGGATATAAGTTGTTGTTAAGTTTATATTATTAAGACTGTAGAAAATAAAATATGATAAATAAACTACACACCAATTAATATTAGATATACATATTAAAAAAAAAACTTTAATATCACGCTATTATTTATTACTAACGTACAGTCGATTATTTGTTTTAATTTTTATTTAACAGGAGGCCAACGGGCACGAGGCTCACTTGATGTTAAATGATACCCCACAGACACTCACTTTACCAGAGGGCTCGCAAGCGCGTTGCCGGTCTTTAAAGAATTAGTACGTTCTTTCTTGAAGGACCATAAATCGAATTGGTTCGGCAATACTTCAGTGGGAAGCTGGTTCTACATGGTAGAGGTGTGTGATAAAAACTGCTTAAAAAACGCTCAGTTGTGGAACGACGGACGTCTCACTTATTCCTACTTTTCGCCCCACTAAACCAAATCTGCTACTAGGTAGCGCTTCGTCGTTGTTTCCATATAAACAATGGTAACCATGGCAACCAATAAAAAAATTTACCCGTTTTCCCGTCCACAGGTATAGCATTTATTTGTTTCCTACAAATCTACTGGTTCGAATAGAAAAATTATTCAGTTATCAAAAATTTTTAAACTTTTATTACAAAGTAAAAAGAACAATAAAAAAATTTAAAATATAATAAAATAACTAAATTGTATTATTAAAAGGAGTCCCTTTAAATAATAAGGAAATAGCAAAAAGGTTAGTCGACATCACAGGAGACCGAAGAGCTGGCAGCTACTTCGGACAAAGAATTAGTCTTGCTGTTCAAAGGGGTACACGCTGCCAGTATTTTATTAGCTAATTTATGATTCCAATTACAGAAATATTTAACCTACCTGTCACTTATACTTGCAGGTAATATACTGTCAATGTAAATCGCGTTACACGTCCCAACCCTTTGGTACGTATCAGATCCAGAACTATATACATCGTCAGAATACCGCTGATTACTCAAGAAAAGCCCCAAATCCTCGTTACACGGCCTTTCAATCTCGATAAGTAAGGGCCCACTCGCCAATTTAACAGATTCCATGATAGATACATCATACTCGATAGTTAGGCTCGTCACTTGCGGGCAATTCTGGAGTATTTGATGGACCTCTGATAGTGTTTTGTTTGTGAGGGATATCTGGAATAAAGATCAGTCAGTCTTCTCTATATAAAGGTTTTTAGATTTTTTTAGAGCGTTCGTATTAGCGTGTTTTGATACTGTATAATATAGAACAAAAATTATTCTTTCGCAGGGAACCGAATCCAGAATCAACCCTCTCCGGGTTGTGCGCCATGTGGGTGCAGAGCGTGAGATATAAAAAAAATCCCCGTAGGAACCCATTGCGACTAATTTTTTTATCTTTTTAGGAAAACAGCTTCTAAATCGAAACATGATTTTTTTGGATTTAAACCATCTTCTGAGGCTGACTAACTTAGATTAAAGGTGGGTAATATGTTTGTTCAGGATAAACAGCGTGTTGGTAGAAAGAAAAAAGCATGGCTTCGCAACGTAAAGAGTTGCTGCATCTGGCACAGGACAAGACACGACCTCTAATAATGGAGAGGCACCAAAAGAAGAAGAATATGTTTGTTTACTCACGTGGTCAACTTTCAACAGCCGATCTCCAGGTTTTATCCTAGATGTATTGTACGCTGCCCCGCCAGGTCTGACATGGGTGATGACCAATGGTTGCGCATCCAGAGATCTGCTGTTCAACACCAGATCAGCAGTTGGAGCCGCGTTTTCCGGAAGACCACCACGTATTGTCACTCCTAGAGATCCTCCAATTTTCTCAACTGGAACTTCTGCTAGCTTCGTTGTGATGTAGAGGGAATTTTGTGATGCTGAAAAAAACATTCTCAAGTTAAAAGTATATTAGTGGTTATCATAGCAGCGTCTAAGTGTTTGTTATAGCCCCGGTATAAAGCGAGAACGACGGTGCCTCTGTAACGCGGCTTGGTCGGAACTACTCGAGGTGGTTTCAATGGGTATTGCTGACCCAGTATCTGAAAAACAGAGATTCTGGTGGGGGTCCCTCATACTCCTGCAACTCTCAGGGGAAGGGGTTGCGCAAATACATTTTCACCTTGGATATAAAATAAAAAGGTGTATGTTATAACTTGGTGAGAAGATTAAAATTCAATTAAATTTTTAAGGCTATTTAATCCAGACAAACTGTCCTCTTGTGAAATATAAATAATTCGATATCATCCATATTTTACAAAAAGGTCTGGTATCTTTGGATTATATACGGGATGTTAATCTTTATTTTAATTATGTTTAATCGATGTACATAATAGTTTGAAATGAAGCGGCTGTGTTAGCCGGTAAGCTTAGTAATGTTATATTTTACTTATTATAATAATCATTTGTGAAATAAATTTATTATCTATCGTTGAAAACAAAAGCCTATTAAAAATGTACAAACGATAGATGTGGACCAAATTGGTTGTAATCATGTTAGTAGAAATAAATAATATCATTATACATAAAACCAATTTAAAAAAAAGTTAAATAGGAAACCAACGCGCAGTTAATACTTAACATGGAAGTTTGTTGTGGTAGAGTTTTTAACATTAACTTTGTTGACTTTTTCTTGTGTTTGACCTATGTGCGCTCGTGACAATTTAAACTTTTTAAAGTTACTTTTTAACTTTCGCTTATATTTGTTTTGCAATAGAAGTTTACCAATTTGGCCTAACAAGTATTATCACTCTGCTTCTGATATTTCTGAAAAATAAATTTATTTATTTACATAATGTAATTTTACCTAATGGGACGAACAAATGATTGGCAAACAGACTGGCTGAATTTGACTGGAAACCATTTGATTTATCTATTGAAGTAATATATTTATTTTAATGTACAATATATTGCAATAAAAATAATAATTGTACCACGTACCACGGAATTAATATTATCTAGTTACCCACAACATAGGGGTGTGTATTTTTGTCAAGAATATAGTATTTTTTTTCCATAATTACGCCATCTATTTCCGTGAAGTTGGTATTTGCAATATTTGGAAGTATCGAAATAAATTTAAAATTAATAAATGCATGATTATATTCGTTGAAGAGGTGATTGCATTAGTTTCATATTTCTGTCATACTAACATTTGACAAATGAATTTGGAAGCTGAAAATAACAAACCATCTCATCATCAAACATCACGAGAGGCAACCAAGAAAGAATTAGGAGAGAAGTGTGAAACTACTAAAAATAAAGGACTAACTTCACATACAAAGAAAGAACAAAGAAATCCAAGAATGAAACATAAACTAAAGTACAGAAAAGCTAAAATAAGGTGGAAGGGTGCCGTTCGAGAACCAACGACTGTTGTACCTCTTTATGCTGGTGAAGCCTCGGGCATTAAGCAAATGTCAAAAAGAGCATTATTATGTGATTTATAATGTTTTATTAGGTATATATATATATAATAATGTGTAATGGTTTTATTACAATAAAAACCTTTTCCTTATTTGACATAGCTGTCTATACAGACTATAACTATACAACTATACAGTTATTTGTATTTCATCAATTATCTCACTTTAATGGCAAATAAAGAATTTATTATTAATATAAATAGTAACTATAATGACTAAAATATTTGCGGTCTTAAAACAATTCCTATTTAAATATCTTACCATAGTTAGGCATATAGTATTCAACTTCCAAAGACGCCCTCTCTTCAACATTGTCCAATAATCGTAGAACTTCTTCATTAGTAAGCCTGGCAGTGGAGATACCATTGACGCTGCAGATTCTATCCCCCGGAGCCAGCCGGTCGGATTCATGGGCTACCGAGTCCTTGGTAAATCCAATAATCGAAGGTATTACACCTGGTTCCGAACGACCTGAAAACGAAATAGATTTTAAAACGAATATAACGAAATTATTTCACTATTTGTTACTTTCTAACAAGTGGTTTTTACGCCATGATAAAAAGAAACAAAACTAGTTAAAACTGTAAATAATTCATATAGTTTTGATGAATAAAGTCAATTCGTTAGAGAATATATCGCTATAGTAAGTATATATATGTCAAGAGATAATATAATAAGAGAACACGATATCATTTGTTTTATTAGAATGACAATATCATAGACATCTTACAGGCTGTAAATTTGTGTCTAAGTAAATTTTTCAGTACTGCCTTGCGATTCTGTAACTCACTCCTCAAATTCTCACAGCGGATTCCGCTCTCATAGGTGTCATATTACACCGTCACGAGTGATTTGAGAGCGGAATCCGCTATGAGAATTTGAAGAGTGAGTTACAGAATAGCAAGGCTAGATTTTTTGATTATTATTTTTATGATTAGATGATCTGGATCGATATTCAATCGTAGCTTCGGACGTGGACACTGACTTATTTTAAAATAAAATTCAAATTCCAGACGACGATGGAGATAACTATTTCGCTAATATTAATCGCTTCGAATCTGCACTTTAAGATGTTGTCATTGAAGAATCGTAGTAAATTAATTGATACATCGTTTAATATATTTATGAATCAGATTGAGTGCCCCAACATTTTACTTAAATTTAAATTGTATCCTATAGATAAACCAGGCATGCCATTATCCCATTTGTTCCTCCTTTCAGAAGAACGTTTTTTTGGCCAAAACTCACTGATATCCAGATTGAGCATTCTGATGAACGAGCTAGGATATCCATAGTTGCACCCCTCACACTTTGAAATCTATTTTCTTTAGTTTTATATATCTTTTTGTTTAAGTTTTTCTTCGTGTTTCCCAATAAGTGCTTGTACCAATGTATCACTGTGCTAAGCGTTGGCAAACTTTTATAAATTAAAAAAAATAAATACGAATTTCTATTAAATGCAATACTCGCTTGAATTGAAGACGTAAATACGAACTATTAATTCCCTTTATGGAGTCCTCTCTAACAATCTAAAGGCTTTTAATTAGAGTTCACTTGCCAGCCGATGGATTATGCACAATGTAACACGTGAATGTTGTTAACGGTCCAATACATGAATCAATTAATCATCTACTACGAGTTATATTGGTGCTTAGCACAGGCTATATAGGACTTATTGAAGTGAAACTTCTTTATGCGCATGAGGGTAAAATTTTTACGGAACGTCACGAAGATGTGCAGCGTTTTTGTCGAAAAAAAGTGAGAGAGCGATTGAGACCGATTGAGAGAGTGAGTGAGAAGGGTGAATTACTTTATAGAAATTCTATTTTATAATTAAAATTTCATATAGAGAATTTATAAAATATTAGTATTTTATATTTTATGCAAAATAATTTATTGAAATCTAAAATGACGAACTGTAAATTAAAATGACACAGGTTTATATTATCGAAGAAATAAATTAAAAAAATTAAATTTATTATTTGTATTATTTTCGACACTTAATATTACATATTTATATGACAATAAGATTTCCGAGACATAGAGGGAGGGAAAAAGTTTTATATTTGTATAAATATGAACAAGAGTTAAAAATTAGTTTGCCAAAGAAGTTTCACTTCTGACGTGTGTACTTTGTACGCACGCACTTTTTTATAAAGGTGTTTTTTACCATAGTAACCGATTTACTCATAATACAACCTGTATTGTAAAAAAATAGACTGAAAGTTAGAATATGATTGTTGTCTATGCGTGATTTCGTACTCCACCCACCGTAACTTGGTATCTACTTTAGCATTCTCACCAGTACGAGTCTACTACATTTTTAAATGTAACCCAGTGTTTATCCAAAAATGCCAAACGTCATTGCTGTGAGTCGTTTATAGAACAGTGTGTAGTTTGTACTATTTCGCAAATATTTGTATCATAAACAGTCTACACATACTCTATACATAATATTCTATCTAAAAATTGTTTTATCCTTAAGCCTCTCGAAAGGCCCTCAGGGTTTGTTCAAAGTAAGCCTAGGACAGGCTTTAATGGACAAGGGAATTGTTGAGGCAATTACCATTTTCTGTCTCCGAGATTTGAGTTGACCTATCCTTATATTTCTAGGGCACTCGAATTGAACGTATGCGCCCTGTAAGACCATCCAGCCGGTTCTTTACAACTCAATAGAGAAAATAAAATTTAAAGAAAACACTTTTTTAACGGATTGAAGCTATGTATTATTATAAACCTATAATTATTTTACAGTGTTTTCTTACGTGGTCATCCTCTATTCAGAGACATTTCTGCAAAAAACCCTTCATCTTTTATTCGATATCAACTCCGGGGAAATAAATACAGATAATATAACTTTTTCTACAGCTGTGATACTTTTTGACATTCAACACCTTTTGTCTTCAGTCACCGTGACCACGCACGCTGTAAAGCACGCGAAACGATGGGAAAAATTTAAAATTATGTAAAATAATTTTAAGATGATTTGATGATGCATTGATGTCCGATAATGTTAGTGGATAGTCATTTGAAAAATGCATCGAATTAGTACTAGTATAATACTTAGAATATTAATATGACGAGCGCATTAATATTTTAAGTCAATTTAATTTTCAAAATGCGCCATTAATCGACGTCATGGCAAAAGCTGTTGGCAATGAACAAGGGTACTTCAACTGAGATTTTATATAAAAAAATTCCCAAACAAATTGTTCAAAATTTCTGCGTAATATTTAATATCATTTTTAATCCAGATGATTATTAAAATTTACAGTCTGTAAAATACCCTTACCGATAAATAACTCATTTCTATTCTCTAAAACGAAACGTCGGTTAATTTTAAAATTATGTAAAATAAATAATTGTAAATTTATAATAATACATAACTTTAATCCGGTTAAAAAGTTTTTTCTTTAAATGTGTAAAGGTTATATCAATAAAAGACAATTCTAAATAGTTTTAATTATTCAAACTAAATGTTGGTATTTTCTAGCTAATGAAACTCGTTTCTGTAGTTCCATTTAAGCTCCATGAATAATTTCGTAAGAAATGAAGAATAACTAAACACCTCGTTGTCTTTCTACGTATTGCATGAATAAACGTATTAGTACGTAATGGAGTATTATTTTTGCAACAGAATTCTCATTTACAAATTGTTTATGTATAAAGCTTATTTATGAACTTTGGCCTCTGATATTTTATTCTGTTTCACTTATTGGCACTCCACTGGCTCTCTTCGACTCTAAAACCTCCGAAATGAGAAATTTCTCTCTCTCAAAATCAATCTCAAACTCAAATATATTTATTCATATAGGTAAACAAGTACACTTATGAACGTCAAAAAAAAAAAGTTAAATTATTTGTAAATTTACATTTACTACCAGTTCGCAAGTCAAGGGCGTAGAGCGGGTAAGAAGAACTGGCAAGAAACTTTCCGCCACTCTTTTTAATCGCTAAGTTTTGAGTCATACAAATTGTTTGAACTGGAGCAAATCAATCCCAAGGATTGTTGGCCAGTCCTGCCCCACTCTGTTGATCTTTTACCATTTATTGGCACGTACCTGTCATTAATTATCTACTCCAGTCTCAAGCTTTAAACACAATTGTTGGGTCTAGGGCTGTGATTGAGAGACTTTATCGTCAGACGGTTGAGTCTGTCCAAGTCTAAAGTCAAGTTTACATAATGGTATTGAGTTACATAGTTCTTGACAGACATCGCTAAGTCTGGTTTATATTGATTTGGTAAGATTACAAAGGAAATTTTATCTATAACTAGCTGACCCGGCAAACGTTTGTTTTGCCATGTATATATATATTATTTATAGAAAACATTTTTTTTTCAATAAAAATAACTATCTTCAATAATAAAAAAATAGGGGTTGAAAATTAGGGGTTGAATGTATTTTTGTATGCTGTATAATTATAAAATAAAAACAAAAAAAATCTACAAAGTTAAAAAAAATGTGTGGCATGGACACCCCTTATCACTTAGGGGTTTGAAAGATAGATAGTAGTTGATTTTCAGACTTACTGAATTTGCATTAAAAATTTCATAAGAATCGATCGAGCCGCTTCGGAGGAGTATGGGAACGAACATAGTGACACGAGAATTTTATATATTACCTAGAGATAACAGATAATGAACGATTAGTAAAAACATGAACAATTATTATAATCCACAACAGCAAGAAACATATTGAGTGTAGCAGAGTAACAAGACATTAATTTCAAGTCGTTTTAATTTTTATATTAATTAATATAGCATAGATAAGTATTTAAACTATTAATTAGTGTATTTCTGTATACTGAAATGAGGATACGGAAAATCTGCTAAATGTATTAAAATAATTTTCACATAATATGTTCTCAGGCGTTTGCCTTACACATACCCACACACACCACTCACACACGCGTACCTACCCTCTCCTACTGTGTGTGTGTGATACACTCACATACACACACACTCACATACAATTTTATTTCTACTAACTTCTAACTAGTAGACTGTTTTGTTTTTCTTTCCTTATTTAAAACGTGAAATTTGTTTGCCTACCCATATATGTATGTACTTTTTGTTACCACTCAATATGACTTTGCTGTGGAATGGAAGCCTGGTTATTCATATCACAGGATCTTACCTGGTTTGGAAACCAGTCTCCCAATACCTTCTCAACTGTAATCTTATTGTTTGTTGTAAATATTATATGGGAGAAAATAAATTATTATTATTATCAAAAGTTTCTGTATCACATATACAATATAATATATACAAAAAATACCATCCAATCTTTATTTATTTTGTATATTTGTTGCTTCTTTTTTTTTTTTTTTTTTTTTTTATGGCTCTGGCACGATTTGTGCATTAGCCAGCGTCAAGTATAGGACTTTTTATAATTCGTGCTCGTCTTTTTTTAGAGATTCGACAGTGCCCTTTATGCACGGTTTAAGCACTCGCCCGGTACCGCACAACCCTCCCAAAGGCCGAGAACAAATTTGAATTAAATTAAAACTTGCCCTCGAACCGGGAATCGAACCCGGTACCCCTCACCTAGCTGCCACTTAATAAGACCGCTAGGCTATGAGGCCCCCTTTGTTGCTTCTTAAGGATAATAGCATCTTATAAAAATAAGTACAAACATAACCATACACTGCTTGTCGTACAAGCCATCATCAATATAACGATGCTATTAAGCGAGCGTTGGACGCAGACCAAACTGCACTTCTCGACCAAGCGTGAAGCTATTAAGAATATTATGTGTATGCAGATATTTGTTTTTTTTTCAAATATAATCTTTTAAAATCCTTTATAAGAATTTGATTTTGTGTTTCGGGCGAAGTAACCATGGTTTGGTGCAAAGGTAGAGCAGATTTCTATCGACTTAAAACACATATTTTTTTCAATATGGAAATATGATATTCAATTCATTTTCACAGCAAATTGTTTGAAATGGACCTTCGAATAGAAAGTTGTTGGAGAGGGATGATTTTAAGCAAATGTTTGAGTTATAAAATCATATAAGGAAGGTACGGACTATAGTATAGATACGTATGGGTTTAGTTTACGCAAGTACTAAAGCATTTTTAGCTGCCCATGTGTATCCAATTTTCTACTGTACCTGTTTCGTTACGCGTTACGTAACTATTATCTAATATATAAAATTCTCGTGTCACAATGTTCGTTCCCATACTCCACCGAAACGGCTCGATTCTTATGAAATTGTTTATGCATATTCAGTATGTCTGAGAATCGGCTACTATCTATCTTTC